AGGCTGGCCTCGAACTCACAGAGATCCGCCTGCCTCTGCCTCCCAAGTGCTGGGATTAAAGGCGTGCGCCACCACCGCCCGGCCTACAACTCTTCTTTTTTATTTCCACCATTACTTGTTCTTTTAATTGGCACTTGGTGGCTTTGCCTAGGCTGTTGTTGGGTCTGTAGTAGCTGGGGCTGTTGCACTAAACTCATTTACATAATAATGAGGACATGAGTAGTTATGATTTAATAATGAAGCAGCACAGAGATCAAGGTTGAATACACTTTTCTAAAGAGAGGAAGCTGGTAAGATCTGCAATGTTTATTGACTTGATATATGGGAAAATTGCAAGTCCTTAGAATGACAGAGGCCTTCTTGGGGGCAGAGGGATAAGTTTCAACAGCCACTAAAGCCATCCCAGGCTAGTGGCTCCCGGGTCTTTTGACTCATAAACCCAAAGAATGACTTTCACAGGCAGTAGGAAAGATGCATTTGTAGAAAGGTGTTTACAACAAGTTCATGGGTGAGAGCATAGAGTAAGTAAGCAAAGAGGGTTTCTGAATAGCAAGAGCAAACTCCAGAAAGGGGTGGCAGTTGAGCTGCTGTCCTGGGGCTTGATGAGGACACACAGCAGAAACTGGCTTAAGGCACAGCGAAGAGAACTGGTCAAGCCAGCTGGTCTACCATGAGGGGTCTGTATCTCTACCCAAGGTGTCTGGACAGGAGTTTTAGTAGTGCCCTCATTTGTAGCTTCTAGGCAGCTCTGTAAAAGGCGAAGAAAGATAACAACAAAAGAAAATGAATACAAATCAGTGTCCCCAAACACGGTTTGTCATTTCTGTTGTCTGGCAAGGTCAAAATTTCCCATAGAACTAAGAACATTTTCAGCTTCTAGCCAAGGATGCAAATTGTGGTCCTTATCCTTAAGCGGCCCGACCAGTTTCTCCTATTCTCATCAACCTGAGACAGTATGGACTGGACACCCAAAAGATGGCAAGTAGCTTCTAGATGTTTACTAATATTCCTTACACTTGAAAATTTTAAAAATTCTGATATTAATGAGGCAAATGTGCACATATATACATTCTTAAGAGTTAGCATGAGTATTACCATAGGAATCAGACTTACTTTTTGGGGGTTCTTAGTCTTGTTAACAAAAGAATTTAGTAACAGATTCAGAAGGAACCTTGAGGACAATTATGTTAGTTTGAGAGAAAAATAACAGGGCAGGCAAGCTGAAACTCTCAGCAGTTGCTAGGAGGAGAGAAATGGGAAAAAGGGAGAGAAAAATCATGTCCTTAAGAAAGCAAGAAAGTTCAGCATAGATGCCAGCCAGAGCCACATGGCAGATAGACATCCACCTGTGTGACAGAAGAGGGGGAGGACTTACAGAGAAAATGTGGGAAAGCCTGCAGTGCTGAAAAGCACGCCCAGAGTTCAGGCAGCATCTGAAAGGCAAACAGAAAGAACAGGGCAGTGTGTTACACTTTCATCAACCAGAAAGGCAGATAGGCTGCTTGACACGAAGGAAGTTGTGGAAGGCACAACATGGGGGCAGGGTGGATAATTCTTTTTAAAAGTGTTTTTCAGCAAAACTTATTAAAAACATCTATTTTATGATACTGGATTTTAACTATATAGTAATTTTATTTTATGAGGATGGTAAGTGTTTGCAGATGTGTACATGCACCATGTGTGGTGTGCTTGGTAACCCAGAGGCCAGAAGAGGATGGCAGTGGCCCTGGAACTAGAGTTACAGATGGTTGTGAGGCACCATGTGGGTGCTAGGAATCAAATCTGTGTCCTCCGGAAAAGCAGCCACTGTTTTTAACTGATGAGTATTGCTCTAGCCTTTCCTGCTTTCTCCCACTCCAGTGTTTCTTCCCTTTATTCTTCCTATGCCTCTCCCTTTCCTTTTCAAATTAATGGCCTCTTTTTCTTGAATTAGGATTGTTACACACACACTCACACACACACACACATACATTGCACAAATATATAAATACAATCTTCTGAGTCCATTTTTGTTATCTCTGTGTACATGATTTCAGGGCTGATCATTTTGGATTATGTATCTAATTGTGGGCCTCATCCCTGGGAGAGACTAATTCTATCTCTCTCAGCAGCCATTAGTTGCCTATTCTTCTTTGCCTAGAGATTGGACTCTGGGATTTTACCCTTCTGCATTAGTGTGTCTGCTGATACTGTTATTGTTTGGGTCTCGTAGAGGCAGGCTTTTCTAGAAGACATGGTCTCATAGCAGACTTCCTGGTCTTTTGGATTTTACATTCTTTCTACCTCTTCTTCCAAGATGTTCCTTGAGCCTTAGGTGCTCAAGTTCTGTTGCAGATTTAACCATTAGGGCTTGGCCTCCCATGATCCATTGATCTTTGCATTATGTCTAGCAGTCTTGCTGCAAAGAGAAGCTTCTTTGATGAGGGGTAAAAGCTATACTTACCTGTGAGTATAAGGTTAAGTTTTAGAATGTAGTTAGGAATTATGCTGGTCTGAGGATAGAAACAGGTTGTCTTTTAAGATCCATGACCTGGCTAGCCCTAGGGAGTTGGCTAGGTCTTGAGCACTAGGCATGATTTTCCTCATGTTGAATAGGCTTTCAATCCAATTAGACAGCTGTTGGTTACTTCCAACATGGGGGTGGCACTATTGTACCTGTAGGAATAGCTTGCATGTGATCAGTGTTATGGTTCATATATATTGGACTATGATTGTTCCCCTCCTTGGCAGCTTGCATGGTACATTCTAGTACTATGGGAGCTAGACCAGAGGAAAGCGGCTTCAAGTTTAGAAGTATCTAGGATCATCTGAGTTCTGTGTCCTAAACGTGTGGTGTTTTCAATATAAGATTTGCCTTCAACCTTGGAGAGGCAACCAAGGGCAACAGCAATAGCTTATATTGTTTCAGGAATCATTTGGACTACGCTGACCAACAATTCAGACAGAAGTTTCTCATGTCTGCTACTGGGGTTCTGTTAGATAATCTATGGCTCTTGTGGGGAGCATTGCCAGTCCAAGTGGCATAAAGTGTGTGTGTGTGTGTGTGTGTGTGTACATTTATGTGCATTGTATACCATTTTTGATAAATATAAAATAATATAGTACCTTGAGATTTTTTTTTCAAGCAGCTTTTTCGGTCCTCCTTCCTTTTTCTGTGTTGAACTGCCTCTCCCTCCCCAGTTAGAGGCCCCTGCTCCCCATTTTTCCCATTTTACACTTCATGTCACCTGTATCCTGCTAGTCCCCTCTAAAACACTCCATGTCACCATGGTCCCTTATGCTTTCCTGGTGTCTGTGGTTGCCCCATGTTATATACTCACAGCTGAAGATTTGGAGCAAGGGACCTCAGAGGAGAAAGACCATGTGGTGTGTGTCTTTCTAGACAGAGGTTACCTCACCTAGAAATAGAGTCTCTTCTGGATCCATCCATTTTCCTGCACTTTCATGAATTCATTCCTGTCACAGCTTTCACTGTGGATATGAACCAGATTAACATTATCCTTTCATCAGCTGAAGGGCAATTAGGTTGTTTCCATTTCTTTTTGTTTGTTTGTTTTGTTTTGTTTTTTCAAGACAGGGTTTCTCTGTGTAGTTTTGGTGACTGTCCTGGATCTTGCTCTGTAGACCAGGCTGGCCTCAAACTCACAGAGATCTGCCTGCCTCTGCCTCCCCACGTGCTGGAATTAAAGATTTGCTCTACTGCCACCTGGCCATTGTTTCCATTTCTTAGCTATTGTGAATAGGGCAGAAATTAGCATGTCTGAGCACTTACCTCTGGAGTAGGATATGGAGTCCTTTGGGCATAGGCAAAGGAGGGGTATAGCTGGGTCATACGGTAGGTTTATGTTTAGTTTCTGAGTAGTCTCCACACTGATTCCCAGACTGGCTTCACCAGTTTGTATTCCTACAGTGAATGTGGATTCCCTTCCCCCACATCCTTGTCAGCATTTATTGTCAGCCGGTCTGTTGATCTTCACCATTCTGAATGGGATGAGATGGAATCTCAAAGTTGTTTTAATTTGTACTCCTTTAATTGCTAAGGATGATGAATACTTTTTGAGATTTGTCTTTGTTTCTTCTGTTTGTTTGTTTGGTTGGGTTTTTTTTTTTCCAGCCATTTTTATTTCTACTACAGAGAACTCTCCGTTCAGATCCCTAGTCCAGTTTTAATTGGGTCATTTGTTTTCTTGACTTACTTTTTTTGAGTTCTTTGTGTTTTCTGGATATTAATAACTTGAGAACAGTATGGGTGGCAAAGATTATTTTCCACTCATTGAGTTTCTTCTTAACCAGATTGACTATTTCCTTAACTGTACAGAAACATTTTAGTTTTATGATATTTCAGTTGTCAATTGTTGGCCTTAATTCTTTGGTTAATGGGAATTTGTTCAGGAAGTCCTTTCCTACACCTAGATCATGTAGGGTACTCTGTATGCTTTCTTCTGGCACTTGTAGCATTTCAGGTTTCTAATGGAGGTCTTTGATTCACTTGGAGTTAACTTTTGTGCACAATGTTTATTTTAATTTTATTCTTCTGCATATGACATCCAAATTTCATAGCACCATTTTTGGAAGATCATAGCTATAGTTACACATATTCATTTTTGGGTCCTCTATTTTATATGTATATAGTATATATTATTATAGATTTATATATCTATACTATATATACTTCTAGTTTTATATATACTACATATATATTATTATGTATACTATATAATATACATATTATTATTTATGTATATATTACATGTTACTATATATCTATAATATATCTTGAAATATGGAATGGCAATTTCTCCAGTATTGTTCTTTTTGCTCAGTATTGTTTTATGATTCTTTTACTATTTCTCTTAAGAATGTTGTGGGTATTTTGACTGGGATTAAATTGAATCTGTATATTGCTTTTGGTAGGATGGTAGTTTTCACAACATTACTCCTACTAATCCACAAACACGAGATGACTTTCTACTTTCTAAAGTCTTTCTCAATCTCTTTCTTCAGGTATTTGAAGTTTTTATTGTAAAAGTCTTTCACCTCCTTGCTTATGTTTATTCCAAAACATTTTATTGTGTTTGAGAATATTGTAAATGGGAGTAGGTCCATGATCTCTTTCTCAGTGTGTTTGCTGTTAGTGAAGAGAAAGTGTTAATCCCAAAGATGGGAGGAGAAAGACCACAACCCTAATTATCATGCCAAACTAATTAAAGCAAGCAATTAATTAAAGCAAGCTTTTTAAATGCATATGGGCTTTTTAAATGTATATGGGCTTCCTCTCCCTAAGGCAGAGTTTGAGAGATCAGCCTTGGATGTGAGACAAGGCTTATATAGTTCAGGGGTAAGAAGTTTCCAAATAGGGGACTTAGGCAAAATAGGCAGGGTTCCATTAGCAGAAATTAAGTATAACAAGTTAGTCCCTCCTGAAACAAAGACTTGGCTACAAGATGGGCATAACAAGGTGGTCATAACAGGTAGTCACAAAAAGGTAGTCATACATCGTCATACAGCATTTTGAAACAAAAGTAGGGTTGTAAGGTGATTTTAAACAACTTTTTGAAACAAAATCACAATTGCCATTCCTGGAACATGCAGTACAGAACCATTTGTAGTTAAGGTCACAGGTTAGTCATAGCCCCAAACCCAAAACAGAGGTTTAATCATAAACAGGAATGAACTTAGTTTGCCTTCACTATAAAATGGCTTTTCAGCCCAAGATGGAGGCAAGCTGATTCTTCAAAAGGCTACTGATTTTTATGTTAATTTTGTGTCCTGTCATTTTGCTGAAATGGTTGATTGTTTCTAGAAGATTTCTGGCATAATTTTTGGGATCTTTTTATGTTTACCATCATATAATGTAGATAATTCTCTATCTCATCAAAGGCATAATTATTCCTCCCATTTTCTTTGCATGGAATCAAGTGAATCAGCCTATCTGAGGGTTGGTCTCTTGACAGGTGGATTAACTCGTAAGGGATGAGACAGTAGTATGTAATCTTTGAAGCAAATTAGAATGTCATGTCTCTACCCAGAATGAGAAGCAGATCCAATTCTTTTGACCGGAGAGAAATAGCTTTCCTTTAATGGCCTTCAACAGAGTCCTGATACCCATCTTCAGCGGCTGGCAAGGATACTGTAACACTAGCATTGGCCTTCACTAAACCATTTGTTTCTACAAGCATCTCTGTCTATGGCAACAAGGGATTCACTTTACTGTACCTTACTCCCATTCAATGGCTTCAAGTGACAGAAAGATGGCCTCTGCTCATCAGATTTAAATACTGTTGTGTTTTTTTAACATTGACTCCAACTTCAGTTACTTTGTGTGTTAAACCTTTGGTATTTCCAACACATTATCTCAGGTTCCTTCCCTTTCAGTGAATGTGAGGATATCCCACAGCATACTAACATAAGAGAGCATATAAACTTTCAGAGTCGCTTCATTCTCAGGTATTTTCATGAACACCCAGATTTCCAGCCTTGTTTTCTGCCCCTCCCCAGCCTCCCATCCCTTCACTATCACTGACCCAGATTCTTGCACCAGATGTTTTCACCTGGAACTCACATTAAAAGGAAGACTATTCACTCTCTGCTTCTTTTGTGCCTTGGGTCACATCTGGAGAATTTCTCTACAGAGAAAAAGATTGGAAAACATATTTCTCATTCTTAGGGGGAGGTAATTAAATAATTTCCTTTTATGATACTGTCTTTGTTCTCTTCTTGAAAGGAAAAAGCATCCCCTTTATCACGTTAAACAGGGCAAACTAGTATTTCTAACCATCCTTCCAAAGTTAATTAACATGTAAATACTTGTCAGTAAAAGGTAACACTTCAGTGATTAGCATATAAATGGGCCAGGGACTATATTCTGCCATAAAGGAGACAGCTTGGAAGAGTTTGCCAAATGTATTTGGAAAGGGAAAAAAATAAAATAAAATAAAGCCTTCATCATTTCCATACAAACAGTTATGAAATAGAATGTCAGCTGAAGCCTGAGGTAAAGGGAGAACTACCCTGCCTGGATTAAATGAGGTGAAGTTTGCTTGCACAACTTGGGTTTGTGCATATGTTTACTCAATCTCCATGACAGAAAGTAACTAATTGTTTATGTCCAGAAAACACATCATGTTTGTTTGATTTTAATAGATACCATCAGTGAAGGCAACTGAAAGCCGTAGGTGGGAAGAGACTTCAAGGGCTAATTTTTCCACATTGGGTATAATGATTAGTATACTCACAAAATTGCACATGCAGGGACTGCTTCCACTCAGCCTTGAATTTGGGTTTCAAATGAGGTAATTGTGCACCTAATGATCCGTTTGCACAAGCAATTACCTGATTGGCATATGCCAGGTGAGCTTTGGGAGATAACAAAACAAATGCACAATTTGCTTTGTAGCCATTGCACCCTGGCTTGAAAAATAAAATAATTGTGTGCTATTCTTATTAGAACTGTGGGTTGATGGGTGAACTACACTTTTATGCTAATGAGATACAAGTCATTAGTTCAAAAGGAAAATACACTCTCAAACCAAGCTAACAAAAAAAAAATTATTTATATTTACCATTAAAGCTATAACATGTCTAAATCATGTGGGTAGAAAGCAAGCATTTGTAATCAGAACACCCACATTAAAATCCTATATGGTTACTCTTTCAATCCTAGATACACAGACTTGTGCACTTCAGTTAAAAATACCAAATAATTCTTTAAAATGAAAGTGATGATATTGTTCACATGAACGATAAATTTATCTATTAATTACTTCAACTTCATCTTGTATTATTAGAAGTGTGGAGGCCAAGTCAACCATTCTGATGCTCCTCCTAGGTCAAGGCCAACCCCGGGGGGTATCTATTCAAGCCTTGTCCCCTCCTCCACTAGGTAATGCAGACAACTTGAACCCCAACTTGGATCCCACTTTTGCCATCACCAGGTGAAAGGTAGCACAACTTAGCTGAAGTCATCTTAGTCAAATTCCCTGGCTTCCTTTAGACTTGGCAAAGCCATGAGGTTGGGTCAAAACTCAATTGGTTTTCCAAATATGAAAAGTGGCCAAGCTACTTTAGTCTAGGTAGTGTAAATTCTGTTGGATGGTGGGGAAGATTTACGCGTTAAGCACAACCCATCTGGAAGCTGGCAACTTCCCCCTGCACTCTGTGAAGTCAAGTTGTTTAGTAGAACTTCCTGTGGTGATGGAAATATCCCATCACCTGAACTGTCCAACATGGTTATCACTAGGCGTATGTGGTTACTGAGCATTTCAAATATAGCTAATGGGAATTGAGGAACAATATTTCATAATTTAATTAATCTTAGTTAATTTTTTTATTGTGTGTATCATTATATTTGGCATATTGTATGTGTTAAATAAGGGCATTTTCATACAAGCATATTGTGGAGGTTTGGACAAGAATAGACCCCATAGGCTTATATATTTGAAAGTTTGGTTTACCATTGGTGCAGCATTTAGGAGTAATTAGGATGTGTGGTCTTGTTGGAGGAGGTGTGTCTTGGGAATGAGCTTTGGGGTTTAAAAACCCACATCAGGCCCAGTCTCTCTCTCTCTCTCTCTCTCTCTCTCTCTCTCTCTCTCTCTCTCTCTCTCTGCCTGCTACTTGTGAATTACATATAAGCTCTCAATTACTTCTTAAGCACCATGCCTGCCCAACTCCTGCTATGTTTCCTGCCATGATGGTCTCACCCTATGAAACTGTAAGCAAATCCCCAGTTAGATGCCTTCTTTAATAAGTTGCTTTGGTTATGGTATCTCTTCATAGCAATAGAACAGTAACTATGACACATATATTACATGTTGAGCATATCCCCCCATACCGCCATATCTTCCCCCTTTCTTATCCTTCAATTGATCTTATTTGTTCCCCTAGATAGTACCGTTTCTACCTTCATAACTTATGTAGTCATGATTTTGCATATCTATATAGAAACCTAAGAATTACTATGGTAGAGTATGTGGTAGGTTTGTTTGATATTGGCTTAATTTACTTCATATGATTATCATGAGTTACACCCATTTTTCTATATACAACAATTTCATTCATCTTTAAGGCTGAAAACAATTCCATTGTATATATGTACCAGTTTCTATAGTCATCCCTATGTTGTTGTATACTCATGTTGGTTCTATAACTTACACGTACTTGCATGTGGTATTGGTCAGTAATGAGGAAAATCCAGGACAGTTTGTGAAGTATTTCAGCTTCATAGACTATGAATGTCATCTGCTGCTCACAATTACATATTCCTACCCTTTAAAAGTGTTTAATGCCAGTCTTCCTTTGCTATGGCAATCTTTGACACTTTTTGAATCATTATCTTACCTGTTTCTTGCCATCATTAATAAGTCACAAAAGCACTCAGATTCAGGAGTGAATTAATTTACTATTATGAGAATCAAATGGAAAACAAAACCAAAACAACAAAAAAGAATTGACATTTATAAATGAAAGAGCTGTTCTAGGGTATGTAATGCCTGCAGTCTGATTTCTGATGGCAATTATATAAAACTGCCATCTAATTGAAAATGAATATTAGCACACCAGAATAACCTAGCCAGATTTAAAATACTGTCCTAAAATTATGCCTAATTTGACTGAACTTTGAAAGTATGAGTCAAATTGTAGAACAATAGAGTAATAAATAATATAGAAACTAGAAAATTCAACACTAATGGATTATGTCTCAAGCACTGATCTAATACAGTGCTTTGTGGATTCATTCATCATGACAGTTTTATGTGATGGTTGTTATTACTCTCTCACTTTTCCTGGTTAAATAGATTACAAAAGGCCACCTCACTTGCCTAAGTTTGTAAGAAGAATGTGGAACAGGGCTGAGGTTCAAAGCAACATGCTGACTCCAGAGCTCTTCACACAGAAACTATGGAAATGTGACTTCACAGCTCTTAGAACTCAGGATATATTCTAGAAAGATCTTAGAATTTCTTAAGGGAGAGCAAAAGATTTCATGCTGGACAACCAACTCTTCAAAAGAGTCAGTAGCAGGAGTCTGAGACTGGGGAGACTGCTTCATGGATCATTCTAGAGAAGATGAAGGCAGAGATGCATCTGACCTGATTTTTCTCTAAGTAAACATTGATCTTGGGTCTTTCTACAGAACTAGAGTGAACCACTCAAGTCTAGGTTTGTGTGGAGGATAATGCTTGAGAATAAGCTGTTCAAGTCTATCCCACAGTTACAAACACATTCCTGTGTTACTTGGTTTGAGGGCTAGTAGAGCACTCAATAATCTGGTGATTTTTTTTTCTTTTGAGTTTTAAATGCTTCCTTTTTCAGACCAGGCTTTTGCAAACTGTTCTGTTTTTATTCTGACCTAAGTGGTGAGATTGTCTCAGAATTGGGGGGAGGGGGGGAGGCAATCTAGCACAATGTAAACATATTCACAATTCTGTTTCCTAGAAACCAGGATGTAAAACAGATGAGAAGTCAGGGTATAGGTAGAAGGAGGTGTTTTCCTGTCCAACACAAAAGTCTTTAACCTGTGTGTACAAGTGTACACACACACACACACACACACACACACACACACACACACACACACACACATCTTGATGCTTTGTGCATAAACTTACAGAGAAGACCAGTGCACTAGTAGGCATTAAGTCACTCTTTGCCTGTCTCCCTGCCTATGTAACTTGCAATCAAGTGATCTTTGAAAATATTCTCTGCAGAACCTATTACAACTATGAAAAACTTAGAGACATTTTACAACTATGATTAAAACAACATAAAATAGCTATAGATACTTTAAAAATTAGATATAAAATAGAGCCCCTGGCAACAGTGAAAACTAGCAACTTTCCTAGATAATTCTTCATACCGGGACATGATCATATCCAATTAAGTTGAGCTCTGTTCAGTAATCACTGTGTAATAGGATAGAATCACAGAGTAATAGGATTTGTTTAAGGCAAAGATGGAGGAGCTTAATACACATTAGATACCTTAAATGCATTAAGAATTTAAAAGACCAACGGATACAAAACCTTTGGGAGGAAACTGAAAGAAAATGAAAATATTAAGGGTAAGATAGACAATTCCTCCATAGAGTCTTCATTGACATTTATAAATTTCATTGCTGAATAATTTCCATCACTAACATATCCAAAAACAGAATTAAAATGAGATGGAGCTCCAGTTGAAGACACTTATCCTTAAACTTTATTTCTATGAGATCACTGACCCCAGCCAAGCGAAGTTGGATCTGAAGTCACCAAGGCAAGATCTCAGAGTGTCACCAGATCCTTGAACACTTCATTTGCCTTCTCAGAGAGAAAACTATCAAAAGGTGTCATGAATGCTTTGTCACGCTTGAACTACATATTAGCCGGCTAAGCTGAGAATCAAATATGGGAAATTAGTTGCCATTAAAAGATTGCTCCAGGCAGTTCATTTCTCATCAGCCAAGCTGTGCAAGCCCCCTGCTGTGGACACTGCACATTAGCTTACTAAATACTTCAGCTCATCACGTGTGCCTTTGCTCATGGATGGGTCTGGATTTGGGGGTTGGGGAGAGTGAAGAGGAAACAACAGAGAAAAAACAGAACT